TGGCCTCCCTCGGGCCAGGGAGGGTCGACTGGTTTTGAGATCCCGACTGTGGTGCTCTCTGGGGTATATACGGGGAAAGGCAGTCCCTTAGGTATGTTGGACCTTGACCATATAGGGCTTTAAAGGTAAGAACCAGGACCTTGAAGCGGATTCGGTATGCTATTGGCAGCCAGTGCAGTGTCCTCAGTGCAGGCTGGATGTGATCCCGTCTAGGGAGATCCATCAACAGCCTGGCCGCAGCATTCTGCACCAGCTGCAGCTTCCGGATCCGAGACAAGGGCAGCCCCATGTAGAGAGCATTACAGTAGTCTAGTCTTGAGGTGACCATCGCATGGATCACTGTTGCTAGGTCAGCGCAGTCGAGGAAGGGGACCAACTGCCTGATCAGCCTAAGATGGTAAAAGGCTGACCTGGCAGTGGCCGCCACCTGGGCCTCAATAGTAAGGGAGAGATCCAGGACACCCAAACTCCACACCTCCAGCACTGCCACCAATGTAGCCCCCCCGAAGGTCGGAAGTAGGATCCCCACCCCAGCGCCGCCCCGACTCAAGCACAGGACCTCTGTCTTCGCTGGATTCAGCCTTAGTCGACTCAGTCTAAGCCAACCTGCCACAGCCTGTAGAGCCCCGTCCAGGTCATCCAGTCTGGATCCAGACTGGCCGCCCAGCATCAGATAGAGCTGGGTGTTATCAGCATACTGATGGCACCCCAGCCCATACCTCCGGGCGATCTGGGCAAGGGGGCGCATATAGATGTTGAACAGCATGGGGGACAGCACAGCCCCTTGGGGCACACCGCACTCCAGCGGGTGTCTCCTGGACCGCTGTTCCCCCAACGCCACCCTTTGTCCCCGACATAGACTGGAGCATTAATAAACAACACACATACACAAAACTGCAACTATTTTTTTGTAAGAAACAAACACTATATCTCCAGCATTTCTGACATCTAAATGTACATCAGTCTTACTGAAGCACAGCAGGTCCAGGTCTGATAAGTGTCTGGATGGTAGATTGTCTGTGAACTGTATGTCTGTTGCCTTGAGTTCCTTGGAGGAAAGACAGTATATAAATATAATAAATGAAGAAATATAAGAAGAAATTCAATATATTTTACCTTCTTCTTTTGCTGAGCTCCTATTGTTCTGCTTATTAATACATTTTGCTGAAAATATGCCAGAGGTGCTAATACCTTACATCCAAAATATGTATCTTTATAACTTAAAAATTACTTGTTGTTAGCTGTGTCTTCAGCTGTCTTGCTCATAGTAATATTCACATAACTACTTGGGGGCTGCTTGTATTCCTTGACAGCTTTGTTCCCTTTGGCCTGTTACCCGAACTCCTCTAAGGATGGTTCCGGGAGCCCAAGTCAGATCTGTTTACAGAGGCGGGCGGTGCGTGAGTTCTTACCCGTGTATCCAGAGGTCAGATTGGCTTCAAACGCTCGCTATTTCCCAGGAAATCAGACAACAGCTAGGTTTTATGAATCAATGTTGCCTTTACTAAAGCAGTTCTCAAACATACAAAAACAGATACATACAAGATTCGCACAAGCTCCTTAGTTACAATAGGAAATAGACACAATCAGCATGGAAAATAACAAAAGCATCAAATAAGGGGAATGACTTTATAGGTATGCGGTCATACTTATCTGAGGTCCGCTGAGAAGAAATCTCCTCTTAGGAAAGAAGGGCAGCTAAAGCATCAACTGGTGAACTCTGAAAACACACAGGCTGGTCCGGCCAAGCCACGTGCGCGTTCCCTGGTTGCGACTCCGGGGAACTTAGTACGAGTCACCTGCAGCACCTTAGTGCACGTTAAGGGAGGGGAGGGTTAACCAGAGAAACAAAGCCGTGTTTCTCTTTTTAAAAGCTACGTTTTGGGCTTGGCTTAAGGCCATAAAGAATCCCTAGGGTTTGTCCTCTCAACTATGGCTATAGGTCCAAAGAGGGTGACGTCCTAATGAAGGGGAAGGGGGCAATATGCAGATATTCTATCCTACATCAAAGCGGGGGCCATGTGGTGAGGTGTGAACCTCCGTTTCCATTGGCAACTTTTGACTTGCAGAGATGTTGCTGGTCCAGAGCCATAAACAGTATTGTCTTTCTGATGCCAAACCAGGTAGCAGAGAAAGAGTTACGTGATTTCCCACAGATTAGCAATGGTGTGGTTCGCTGTTGTTTTCCAAGGGTCTAAGTTAGGTGTAATGGCGCTGGGTCTCCTCTGTCCCGAGGCATTACGGGAGAAATTCCAGGGAAGCACATGGTCTGAAGAAGCAGCAGGCAGCACAGGTCTTGTCTATTCCTAGGCAAGCATGAGATGCAAGGCAAAGCTACACAAACAGCAGTAATCCCTGAGTCCCCCAATGCAGAGATATACAGACATGAGACCCACACAGGCAGCATCAACACAATACAAAAATGCAAACACAACCACCCATGGTAACAGGCCTGTCTTCCTGACCCCTGAGTCCTATTGAGAGTAGTACACAGACTGGCTTAAATAAGCTCCTGATCAACTAATTTTTAACAGGGCTATATTTTCAATGTATGAAAGGCCAGCTTGCCTGTTCCTACTGACACATTCTCCACATAAGAGGAAAGACAGTCAGATGACTCTTTAACCCTGTTCTAGAAAGGAAGTGATAAAGGCTCTGGAGTTCTGCCCTTTTGTACTTCAGCAGCTTACTCTCATTTAAGCTCATTCAATCATGAGCTTTGCATTACATATGTCTGGGAGA